CCAGAATTCCCCAGCTAGCATTGCTGGCTGGGGAATTCTGGGAGTTGAAGTCCACCCACCATCAAGTGGCCAAGGTTGAGAAACACTGGCTTAGCAGAACAAGATGGATTTTTGCCTCTCCTGCAAGTTTCCTGTCTGGAAACTAAGCCTCGGCTGCAAAGCACAAAGCTTTTTCGGGCACCTTGAAAGAGACTCTTGAACGTTTCACGGGTAACAGCAGCAGGACGTTCAAGGCGCACAGTGGCTTCCTAATCCCCCCAGGATTGCAAACGGGCCCAATGACGGAAGCGTGCAGAATTTGGGAGAGACCCCCCAAAGCCCATGCTCGAGTGGGAGCTGCTCTCCCGCAAATACAGACAGCCATGGAGCCTCAAGGGCCGAGCTGCGACGAGCAGGTATCGATGGGTCTTTCTCTCACCTCTGCTGGCGTCCATCAGGCCAGAGAGACCCTCACGGAAATCTCTTCAGCTACCACCCAAGCGCAGAGACCAAAACTTTGCCAGGAGTTGGCAACAAACATCTCAAAGCCGCTGAAACCAACGGGTGGTCTCCATCCTTGGACTAACCGAAAATGAAATTCAGAAGGAAAAAGCTTTTCCGGCACGGACCTCGTAAATTTAAAAAATGACACCGCACGAGAGATTTCCAGTGAAAAACGCCAGGCCAGTTCATCCAGTTCTGATCAAACTTACTCTGAAGCCCTTTGCTTTAACCTGCCATCCACTTCCCACTTGGGAGGGAAATGGGTATTACCAACACCCAGCTTGGCTTGTATGGGATGACAGCTGACGTCTGGAGGCAAAACTTACTCCACCTGTTTTCCTTCTAGGTAAGAAAGTGTGGACGACATGCCACTTTTCCTTCCGCCTCCTTCCATTTCCCTGACTTCTCTGGCGTTTCCGCCACTGCCCAGCGCTCCCAGCAAGCGCCATTTCACTCCAACCAGCCCAACTTTCAGCTCTACTCTGTAAGTGCATCCCTCCAGGGAGAACACCGTGCCCCACTTATCATCCTAAACAACTTTCTTTGCCGAAGAGAAGAAATTAAACATAGGTTGGCTTGCTGCTGTCAACATAGTTGAAAAGAAGGGTGTGCCTGTCGTAGGTCCCTGTTAAAGAGGGTTTCTCCCACTGCTTCTGGATGGAGATTAGATTTATCTGCTGTATCTTATATCCAATTTTTCTGCATCTCTTTGTCCTGAATATTTTTTCTAAGCTGAGCAAGATGAAAACAAGAGCAGGAGACCCTTAATAATATCGGTCTAGTCGCTAAGAGTCGACAGTGAGTTGATGGTACATAATCAGTCCATGTGGAAGCGCTCCAACTTGATTCATTCAGGGCTGGGAAAAAAGAAAGTCTTCCCACCTTCGGTTTGGTGTAGTAAATGAACGGAAACAAAGGGAGCTCAGTTCCTGAATCGGTTGCGGTTTCAGCGGCTTCGCAGGACAATGCCGGGCCTAGGAGGAAACTCCGGTTCCACTCTGGTCACTCAGTCACTCATGACAAAGGCTTGTATTGAAGCCGTGAACTTCCTCAGAGAACAGAAGCCATTGGAGAAGGTCAGCTCTTGCTGGCTGGCTGGGTATGTCCTGATTACAAATTGGGGGCATTGGGGGCTAAGTTCCATGCGCAGCATTTCTGTAGCAAGGAAACCTACTTGCAAATATATGCTTACATTATTTATTTGGGTATTCAACATGTCTCTGCTGCCCCCTAAACACTTTCTCTCTTTTACCTCACTTTGTACACAGACCTTTTAAGGGTCAAAGCAGCTCCTTGCCGCAAGCAAAGCCGAAGAATGCCGCCCAGGAATTTCTTCTCTTGGTGGAACAGGGACCCCATCCTCTCTCCACCAATTCTTCTCCCGGCAAAACAAAATCCTGCGTCCATCCTTCCCCACCCCCCAAGTGATTCAGGGTGGCACGTCTCTCCAGAACCGGTCATCCCAATTATGTTCTCTGCCGGGTGATCGGGAGCTTGTTAACTCGAATCAGATCACCAGGCTGTCACTTTCTTTTCTGCTGGTGAAAAGCAGTGGAAAAGCCGTGTGCAAAAGATGGACTTGGGAGGGCCGAGGGCCTGGTTTTTAAATGAAAGATGAAGGCGCACGACAGCCTGGAGACGGGGCAGGGATGAGAACAAGAAACGAGCCAGCCAACGTCATAATCTTCTTTCAGGCTGCTGCTATGAACATGAAGCTCCAGAAGCAGCTGGAAAGAGATTGGCGTTGGATCTGCAAATTACTGCTTCTTTCCAAGCAGAGCAGGGAAACAAGAAAACGGAGTGGGCTGGCCTGTTTCTTATCTCCATCTGCCCAAACGCTCTGTTGCTTATTCACCAATATTTGTGTGCTGCTTTTTCACACAATTCTCATGATCTCGAAAGCAGCTGGGGGAAAGTCACCATTCTGCTTCATTCACTACCTTCAGTCTCCAGCGGGTAAAATGTTTGTCTCCAGCCCTCCAACGGTTAGGTCCTACCGAATAACTCCCAGCCGTCCCCGAACATCGAGTGTCTGTGTCTCCTCATAAACCAGTCCAGTTGAGTTCAAGCCAAGGACGCAAGTAGGTCTTAAAACGAGTTCGTTATTGAATTTACTCCCCCTCCCCACTCTGACACTCAGCCACTTAATACTCCTGCCGCTTTGGGCAGTTTGCGCCAAGGGGCAGTTCAGTTCCCTTCGGGGCTGAGCGCTGGATGTCCCCACCGAGCCTTCTTGCATCGAGCAGCCCCGGTCGCCCCAAAGGGTTTGCCTCTTGCCCCCGTGGCTGAGCGTGGGCTAAAAGCTGGGCCTCCCCAGTTGCTGCGCCCCGACTAGATCACACAGAGACCTTTATGCCTCTCCCCCATGCTGCATCTACACCGCGTGAAGCGAAGCGGAGGCTTCCACCTGCGCTCCTCTTCCCAACTATTTCTGCTGCTCGCTTGCAGCGCTGTGCAATGGCAGCGCAAGGGCTAATCCCCCGCTTTTGGTGTTCCAGAAACACACTTGATTGCCGCATTCATTCTGCAGCACAGCTGCCCCTCGGCGATGCAAAACAACCTCTGCGAAAGATTCACTTTCTTGGAAATGGGCAGTTCCCACGAGCAGCCGCCGCGCGAAGCCCCGCGCCTCCTGACCCGGAAGCGCTTCTTCCAGAGGACGCGCCACGCTCAACGTGGCGGCCACCCGGACAATTTCTCTCTTCCGCTGCTCCCCCCGCCCTGGAATCCTTAACGGGCTTTCTCGAAATCTGATCTTGGCTTCCCCGTCCCCTCCCTCTCAAAAATCGTCCCGCCGCTGCACAGCAAGGCCGTTGCTTTACCTCGTATCCGCCACGCACAATATGGCGCCTCCTCCTCTTCCGGTCTACGGAACGCCGCCGCGGACAATTCAGAGGCGACCCACGCCGTTTCCCGGCCCGCTGCGCATGCTCCGTCGCGCCGCCTCTTCCTGCTCCGTGACTAAGCTGCCGCGGTTC